TAAAACAAGGTGTTATTTAGACTAGTTATTTTGCAGCTTTTATTATGCTTGGCAGACCCTCTTTTACTGTCACAGCAGTAAAACATGTCAGGGCTCGGCTTTGAGGGCTTGACTGCTGGCTACTGATCTGCGACCAGTAATATTAGAGTGGGAAGACAAAACYTGACACTAAAAATTGTAAAAATAGCTTCCCTTACCATCTTGCAGTGTTATGGCTCTTCTGACAGCGTCTGAAGAGAAYGATGTTAAGTCCTCAATATATTGCAATTCTTGTTAGCTCTACTCTTGGGAAGAAAAAATATTTCAGTATTTGCTTTAGTTTTGATGAGAGTCAGCAGCACAACACAAATAAAATAGTGTTTATTCTGCAATTGCTTTAGCTACTGCTCCAGTAGGTAACTAGATGGTGTTCAGCTGGTACAGAGTGCTGACTTAAGTGTTGTGCATTACGTGTTTCCTTCGGGAGTCACTTCAGAAAGGGAGCAAGGTAAGTGAGCTACTTTCCACAGTCCCGAATATCTAAGTGATTTTTTTTTCCCTGAGATAAACAGCAAAACAGTTTACAATATTAAACTTCAATGGGTATCACTGTGTATAACAAAACTTTCTAGTTTTGAAACACCCTAAATGTTTCAGAACCTCTTTGGAAATATTACTACATCGTGTTACTAACAATATTAACTTTTAGGAGTATTTTTACGTTGTGAACAGAATTGAGAAAATCTGAATGGATTATGCTCACACTACTGCTGCTATTTTGGGTTAAGTTTATGTGGGAGCAAGTATATTTTAGAATAAATTCTCTAAGAAGCTCAAACCTGTTACTTTTTACCAGGTTAAATTACTTTAGAAGAGGACACTTGTTCTGAAATAAAAATACCAACAATTCTTGAGCAGAAAAAATAATGATTTAAATGCTATCAGTTTAATTATTTTGATCTTTCTTTTATGTACAGTGATAGCCTGTGCCGTTACATAGAGTGATGGAGGAGTCTCCTCAAGACATGTCTGTATGTCTCCTAAAATCTGTATTTTCCCATAAGCAAATCACCAAGGTAGCATTGCCTATTTATTACTTTCACCTCTCCTTCTACTCCTTTTCCACTATTTTTTTTCCATGTCTCTATAAGGGGTCTGCATCTTCTGCCTTGATTTCCCAGTGCATGGCAAATGACTGTCCTACATTCGCACAGACCAGCTAACATTGGCAGGAATTCCTTTTCTTATTGTGGATAATTTGATATCTTGGAGAAGAGAAGGCTCAGAGGGGATATGATTAATATGTATAAGTTCAGGAAGGGAGAATGCAGGGAGGAAGGGGACAGGCTGTTCTCACTGGTGGCCAGCGATAGGACRAGGGGTAATGGCCACAAGCTGAAACACAAGAAGTTCCGTCTCCAGGTGAGGAGCAACTTCTTTACTGTTAGGGTRACAGAGCAGTGGAACAGGCTGCCCAGGGAGGTTGTGGAGTCTCCTACTCTGGAGGTCTTCAAAACCCGCCTGGATGCCACCCTGTGCCACATGCTCTAGGTGTGCCTGCTTGAGCAGGAAGGTTGGACTAGATGATCTGTAGAGGTCCCTTCCAACCTTAAATATTCTGTGAATCTGTGAATCTGTAATTCCACTTGATTTCTTCTCCCACTGGGAGACTGGGGCTGTTGGGAGACTTCCAACCTTTAGCACCCTTAAATTTTGCTTATACACATTTACAGCCCATCTCTCTGCCCTCACAGCCAGGGGAATATAGCACTGTATAGGCTTTTCCCAGGCTCTCCATGTATTCTATATATTTGGGAAAAGAGGGTAGGGAATGTACTTCCTTTTAAGGGAGGAATACAAAAAAACTGTTTTTTTTTTTTTTCCTTCAAACACCACATGGCACAATGAACAATGATATAGATGAATATATACATATTTAGGCATTTGCACATACACTCTCTATAGGCCAAATGCCAGAAGTTTATAATATAAAGCCTATCCTAAATGCTTGGAGAAGATGGTATGCATTATTTAGTGTATCTAACTACCCTGTGGTCATACTATATAGTAATTAATAGCATGAATATAAGGCACCAAAAAAAAGTCTTAAGAGATTAACAAAGGTTGAAAAATATGGGTATGTATCTTGTGTGTTACTAGTAAAATAGAAACTGTCGGGTATATCTTCCTACTTAAATTGTAAGAAGAATTGATAGCAAGGAGAATTTTCCCCCATAGCAATACTTGCTAATGATTAATTCCTATAGAAAGCTGAGATAATTATGAATTCTTGCAAATTAAACGGCAAGCTATAGAAATAAATGTAAATCTTAAAAGAGAAATGGTTTTAAAAGGGATTAAGCTCCACAAGAGCTGGCAAGTCAGTGTGTTCCTCAGCCTGGAGAGTGAGAATTATATACATATATAGGTGCATATACTTTTTTTTTTTCTTTTAAGTTCAGCCCTTAAGGAGTCTAGAGGCAACTCCAGCAAAATGACATTCTTCCCAATGCTGCAATAACTTTGTGTCATTTTTTAAGACAGCATCCAGGTATATTCACAAGATATCTTGCCTCAGAGAACCTTTCAGCTGAGGTAGAAATCTTAGATACTAAGTAATGATATTCTGCAGCATTGTTTCGAGATTGATGATCATTTACAGTGTCATTTGCAGTGGAATTAACACTGGCTGGTTTTGGCRTCACTGTTTTATTCGCTGACTCTGGAAAGTCTCCCATTTGAGTCTGGCAAAGTCTAAGATGAAGATACAACGTAAAAACATTTTCTTCATTATAGACTCTGTCATCAGTCCATGCCCTGATGAGATACTGGTATTTTATTGGGAGGGGAGGATTTGTACGACCTGGTACTAGTTACCCAGCTCATGAAAGGGAGAGGCTCATGCAGGATCGTGGAGAAGGGCCCCAATTAACAGACTCTAAATTACTTTTTGAAGGAATCTTTCTTGTCACTGACTACAGGGGAAATCTGGGGACAAATTCCCACACTTTTAACAATTAGTAAAGCAATAATATTAAAATATGGATATAATAAGCATGTATATACTGTAAATAATACTAATGAAAATAAGAGGTAGGTATTTTACAAAAGAAAGTGCAGTTGACTAGCATTAATTGAAAGCTTGAAACTGTGTTCAACTTTTTTTTCAAAAATGTAATAACAATAACAAGAATTCCGTATTTTTTCTTCCCCCTTTTTGACCAGTGTCACTTAACAACATGTTGTACTCTATAATCAAATATATAGTCAAATTATATAGTTAAATAGTCCAAAGTTCAATAGGAAAACCAGTTCATCACCAGCTTCCCAAATGTAACTGTAAATTTGACTTCAATTCTAATCCATTTCTGCCTAATTTTCCATGACCACAAGGATCACTTGGTAAAGATACATAAATATTTGTGGGGGGAAAGTTATTTGCCTCAATATAACTAAATGTCTGCACAGCGGAATCCTTGTGGGTTCCTGACCTTCTTACTTTCCAGAAGTAACCACAATTTAATGGGCTAGATTAATAAAGCAATAATGTTTGTGCACTAGTAGATGTCTTTACAGGCAAATTAATGAATTGAAATTCTCTCATGCTCATCCGTGCTAGAAGTGGTCATGCTTTGGCATGGGTATTTTAGCATTATGTGCCTAGCAAGCAACGACAAGAGAAAGTAGAACAGTAGAAAAGAGGAGCGATTTAAACAGTAGCAAAACACGGTGGCCAGATGCTCTCAGTGTGCACAGCAGCATCGCACAGGCAGACAGATAAGTGAAGACTAATTCTAGATCTTTTTTTTTTATTGAGGACATTTGCAGCTTGCCATGTAGGTGATCTACAGAGAAGGGCAAGGTACTTCTGTMGTCAGCTCCCTAATCAGAGATGGTTGGGAAAGTCTCACTTCTCTTCACATTCTTTTTTTCCGCAGGTGATTAGCTGCTCTTAGTTCCCTTCCTCTAATTGCTGTGAATACGAAATCCCTGAATCCTTGTTTTCCTGGCAGAATATTGCAATGGCCTCTTCACTGAAATAACAGAACATGAATGCACCTGAGTCTTGAAGCTACCGGTTTTGAAAGTTAGGGAAATATGACAATTTCTGACTCTCCTACCAGAATCCATAGATTATGTACCTCCATAAGTGGTATTCATCATGTACCAGTGTAACAGTTTTTTTCTCTCTATAAAAAAATATGTTGTGGCAATGTGAAAGAAAATCCAAGCTACTTACGTGAGAACACAAGAGAGAGATGCTCCCAGTAAATCCTCTCTTCCTTGTCATTATTTTTAGAAAAACCTGTGCAAAGTCAGTAATTACACTATATTAAAAACGAACTCCCATTCCTAAGGCCTCTCAGATCCCATTCAGAGGTGGGTTAGGGCCTAGGAGATCCATGAACTAAGTATGTATAGGTTAACCTATATATATAAAACCTGTATATMGGTTTTCCTCCCGCTGTTACCCACTTGAGCAAAACTGCAGAGTGAAGACGCCACTGATTAATTGTTGAAACCGTGTTTTTAGAGCATGACCCGAGAGCTGCTCCAGAAGCACCAACACAATTTTGAACACCACTTCGGAAGAAACCTGTCTCATTAATGAAAACTCCTCAGGTTGAAAAGGCGTAGAACTAAAGGAGGTGAACTAATGGAGCTAAACTAAAGGAACTAAACCAAGCTAAGCTAAACCAGCGAAACTAAACTATAGGTTTTATGCATATAAGCAAATAATGAAAAAGGGCAAATATGAAAAGCAGATGAAAAAGGTAAATAAAAGGTAAATAAAAAAGCAAATAGAAGGCAAATTTAAAGGAGGCAAATAAAGGAAAAAGGGAAGATCGCGGAGTGCAGGGGAGGTGGGCGCTGCGCGGCGGCGGGGCCGCGATGTCCCCGCGCCCGCTGCGCAGGTGCCGCCTCCG